ACCAAGGGCTAGGACGGTTGCCTTCTCGCGAAGGACTTGTTTTGGCAGATGTAATCTTTACCCTGAGTGCATGCCCTTGCTAACCTCAGACCGTGACGGGGCGCGAACCCTCGACCTGACGCCTCAGAGTCGCGGACACTACCGCTTGAGCCACGGTGACTACATAAAGAGGATGCCATTATTCTATCTTAAATAATAACATGCTAAGAATAAGGGAAAACATAACGCCATGGCCCCTCTTTCATATTTCCCATGGCCTCCAGGTTGAGAACCACTGGTCTAGACACTATTTTACAAAGATAAAAAATCCCAAATTAAAAAGTTTTATTTTCACACCCCCAAAGAGTGAATTACAATACAAAGCACTTGAAAATTACCTCATTCTGATACTAGTGCGTGAAAGGGGATCAGTTCCACAACAGGCACCATATAAGTATCAGTATTCAACCTCAATCCCATATTAGGTACCTAATATGGGATTGAAAGGGGATCAGTTCCACAATAGGCACCATATAAGTATCAGTATTCAACCTCAATCCCATATTAGGTACCTAATATGGGATTGAAAGGGGATCAGTTCCACAATAGGCACCATATAAGTATCAGTATTCAACCTCAATCCCATATTAGGTACCTAATATGGGACTGAAAGGGGATCAGTCCCACAATAAGCACCATATAAGCATCAGTATCCAACCTCAATCCCATATTAGGTACCTTGCAAGGCACTCCTAGTGGAATTTATTGTTCAATTAAGTTAGGTTACCCTAATAAAACCTGTATTTTGCCTCAAAGACAGATGGGGCACCATAAATTATCAGACGTCTATTCTGCAATTGAGACTGCTATAGCAAACACTTACCATTCAAAATTATTAACGCTAAGATTCTCAGTTAATATATATATTTTTTTATGAGAGTGACACCGGGACAGGCAGAAACTGCCCTCATCAATAAATGCCCGGGCACGAGAAAATACCAAGATGAAGGAAAAGAAAAAGGTTAAGGACAAGGCAGAGATGAGGTAATGTCCCACAAAGATAAACGACAGACAGAAAAAAACAGCCAAAGTACAGAGGACCCAGAGATATTATTCAACATAGACCTTATATCAAGTCTGATTTGCAACTTGTGTCATTAGTGAAGAAAATATCCAAGTGGCATGATTAAGGACAAATGAGAGAGAGAGAGAGAGAGAGAGAGAGAGAGAGAGAGAGAGAGAGAGAGAGAGAGAGAGAGAGAGAGAGAGAGAGAGAGAGAGAGAGAGAGAGAGAGAGAGAATTACATATGATTCAGTCCAGTTTTATTTTCTCATTTCCATTCCATAATGATGAATGAAAAGATATGAGAATAAAAAAAATCATAAAAGTACAAAACAATAGTAGAGATCAGCTGGTAATATAATAGGCAAAAAATGAAGTAAAAATGATTAATTATAAGGGAAATTTCTGTAACTACTGTAATGGGCTGCTTGAACTTAAAGGGGAAAGATTCACTCTACACGCTTTCCTCTAGGTTTAAAATGAATGAGTATGTATGTATGTATTTATGTATATAAGTACATATGCATGCCAGTCTGAATGCATGAGTGTATGTGCATGTCTGTCGCATGTATGCATGTTGTATGTATGTATGCATATATAGGCATGTGCTTTAAGCATGAATACAAGCAAACAAGTATGTTACACATGGATTTGTATGTTTGTGCCTTTAAAGTATATATACATGTAAGCAAGTGTGTATGAATAGGATTATATGAATGTTGTAGGCATACATGTTGTACGTATGTTATACGAATACACATGTATGTATGTAATTTGTTTATGCATAAATGTGATTATATATATATATATATATATATATATATATATATATATATATATATATATATATATATATATATATATATATACACACACACACAATAACTTAGTACGTACCAAAATCAGGTACATACATGAAGCCTAGATTAATACTAAAAATATCTAAACTGTCACATACAATTTTTGAACACGTCTAACAACTTTTTATATGACAAACTTATACATGTACGTGCCCATCCTCACCTGCGTAAAAGCGTTGGGCATCCGGCACGATACCACCGAAGGCGCAGCCAGAGCCAGGGTACAGAGAGGTGCCCCATGAACAAGGGGGGCCCTCCTGCCCAATAGACGAAGCACAGCCCCACACTCCATAATTTATCTCCCTTCCCGATTTATTTCTTCAGTGTTGGTTCTCCACCTTCAACCTCCAAATTAAATGTTGCACGAAGCTTCTTTTTTTATTATCAAAACAACCAAGTGTTTTTTTTTTAACAATTATGAAAAAACAATGAAAATATATACATACACAGAAACCGAGTATCTATTCCGGGTTAGGTTAAGGTGTATTTCCTGATTTTCAGTTCAGTTGGGTTAACTGTACACTAACTACACTACTAATTCGGACATGAGTTGTTTTCACAAGGAATAAATAAAGCACTTGGAAAGCATCCAACTATAACTAAACTTCCAAAAACGTTACTATATATACTTCGATTATTTGCAACTCTCGATGTTTGACTTTATTTTTCG